TTTGCTCCCGTCAGTCGCCACACCTCAGTCCGGATTCTACTCGCCATTGCCGCCGCAAAGCACCTGCCACTACGACAGATCGACGCAAAGAACGTGTTTTTGTACGCGTTGGTGGACACCACCTTCTTTGTGGAGCAGCCGCACACCTACGGGGAAGGTGATCCCAGGGTCTGTCAACTGAAGAAGTCCCTCTACGGGATCAAGCAGACGCCTCGCCTCTGGCAGCAGCACCTGCACAAAATTCTCCTCGAAATCGGCTTCAAGCAGCTCCCACACGACCCGGAAATGTATCGCCTTCACTTCAGTGGAGACTACATCCTCCTGACAGTCTACGTCGACGACCTGCTGTACACGGGCACCTGCAACAAACTCCTGGATCAGTTTCAGGAGAACCTGGCGCAGCGCGTAGACATCACTCTCAACCTCGAAGTGAAGCAGTTTTTGGGGTTAAACATCACTTACGCGCCAGAAGCAATCCACTGTCAGCCTCCAAGTATGCAGAGCAGCTGGGGGAACGCTTCAACATCTCTTCCGCACCACTCTCAACTCCCTACCGCAACCATAGCACCAACTACAAACCGGATAACAAACCACTGTCACCCGCAGGGCTCCAACTGTACCAGCAGCAACTGGGTTGTCTGTTGTTCGCCTCTGTCACCTGTCGACCCGACCTTTCGTACATCGCTAGCCAACTGGCGCAGTATTCTCGCAAGCCAGTAGCTGAGAACCAGCCGGACCTGGAACGCGCTCTGCAGTACTTCATCTCCATGCCTGACATTGGCCTCTCCTATTCAACGCTGACGACGACCTCCTTCAACCTCAACGGCTACGTGGACGCAGATCACGCCGCTGACCCTGACAATCGACGGTCCCGAACCGGCTTTGTTTTTCGCCTGGAACCAACTGGGCCAATCTCCTGGAACTCACAAAAGCAGGAGCTGGTTGCCCTGTCGTCGGCTGAAGCATAATACATCGCCGCGATAGCAGCAGTTCGCGAAGGCCTGTACATGCAAGAGCTGTTACAGGAAGCGAAAATTCCAACCTCGCCTACCTTTCGCCTTCACTGCGACATCCAGAGTGTCATCAGGATTGCGAACAAGCCTGGTTTCGTGAACCACACGAAGCATATCGCACTTCGGTATTTTTTCGTCAAGGACGAAATTGACCAAGGCAAAGTTGACCTCGCCTATTGCCCGACTACCGAGATGGCAGCAGACTTCCTCACCAAGCGCCTGCCACGTCAGCAGTACAAGCACTGCTCTGACCTCACCGGAGTAGTTAAGCGAGTCAGCTCCTCACCGGAGTAGTTAAGCGAGTCAGCTCTTCCTGCGCCCAGGAATGAAGGGGAGTGTTACGATATGAAGTTTTATGAGTACGGCATTTCTGTATGCTGAAGGAGCTGACTCTACCGAGTACGAAGTCGAGGAGTCAGAATAGTCGAAGCGACGCAGCAACCGTCTGACCAAGACCGATGTAGGCAGAAACGCTTGAAATGAAAAGAGCGGGAAAAGGTTCAAAACGGATTCCCGCGCCGCACGGTTTGAATTTGTTGTAATAAGGGAAATGCACCTCTTAGAGTACATGGCTAGTCTAGGTCTTTTCGTATTCCCCTGTACTCTTATATACCGGTAAATGCTTTTATCAACTCAGTAATTTACATTCACTCTGACCTGAGATTCAAATATTCTGCTGCAACACTACTCTGCGATCAACCCTGAGCGATCCTTCACTAAGTCCCACTTGGGATTGTAACATGATGTTACAATGCTAGGATTTAAGCCCGTCTGAAAAGTATATACCAAAAAAAGGTTTCGTCTGACGTTCAGACTGGGAATTTGTTCTGGTCTGGTTTTTAAGACGAAGGAAAAAGCCATGTCTGAAATTTCAGATGAAATAATAGTGGTCTGTTTTTGTTTTTTCAAATTTGAATTGTGTACTGTTTTACTTGTATCAGACAGAGCGACACAACCTAAACAGGTTTGGGCTGCGACGCGCGAGAGCGGGAATGGGGCAGTGGGGCAGGTGTTGGCCTGCGAGAGACAGGGGAGTGGGGGGCTTGGGCTACGTACGAGACGGACAGGGGGGGAAGGGGCACGAGTGCTGATTTAGGAGATTGTGGCGGGGCGGGAGGGAATTCGAGGTAGTGGGGAGGAGCGAGGGAATTCGGGTCTTGGGAGGCTGAAGCGCGTGGGGGTTAGGGGGAAGAGGGAAGCACTAGGTACTTTGGTGTCAGACGAAAACGTACGCATTATCTGATTTTTCAGATGAAGTGTAACGCCGAGTATGATTTTCCAGACGAAATAAAATTTATGGTCTTATGGATCAGACGAACTAAATTTGCTTGTCTTCAAAATCAGATGAAATAGAAAAATTAGGTCTGATTTTCAGACCATCAGACCAATTTGGTCTGATAACAAGGATCCTGGTAACATCGTTGATCATGAATTATGGGTGGTCAATGTAGTTGTTGTGTGGCTTCCTAACATGAACAAAAGAGGATAGGAAAATGATTACAGAAAGGGTAATGAAATGAGCTTACTTGCAACAAACTGATGTGGAGCGATGATGACATGATGTGATGCAAGGAAATGAGCTTCCTTGTAAGGTAGTTAAGGAAATGCAAGTTACTGTAACAATACATGAGCAGTAAAACGAGTACACTGGTGAGATTGTACATGCATGTGCACCAGCCTATGGATGACACATGCAGCTCCCATATTCAATCAGCACCTGATTGGTTTTCCTTGGACTGTCCAAGGAGAATCTGTGCCAAACAGGCCTGTTGTTTCGTTTTGGGCCCCCCGGACAAATCAGGGGGCCCGGCATGTATGACCCTGTATTTAGCAGGGTTGGGGCGAATCTCGGCCCTTTAGGCTTCAGGGCTAGAAATTTTTCCTCCCTTGAATCAGGTTTGGCGCGAAAAAGTCGGGAGCCTCATTTCAACTACCAAGCTTACAACTACGTTTGAGGTCAACGACAAGCAAGCAAACACGACAAGAATAGAAATAGTTAGCGTCAAATCACTACGTACGCTTTGCAGGCTTCCTAGCCTTTGCAGAACCGATGATCGTCTGCACATCTTTACTACCCAACCTTCAGGGTGGTTCTTGTGATTGGTTTAAGCACAAGTTATAGGCTGAGTTGAATTTGTGGCCCAACCAAGCAACTCGAAATTGCCTTGTTGGATGCAATCAGGTGAGAAACGAAGGGGAAGGAGAGGGAGGAGTGTTGGGGGGGGGGGGGGAAGGGAGTGGAAGGGGGGTCTCGAGAGATTTTGTTCCAGGGCTCGCCTAAAATCTGCCCCTACACACCAAGCCTGAGCCCGAAATCAGCCCTGTAAGAATCAGGGCCAGAATATTTCCAACCCATCAATTTCAGTTTTCAAGGGCAACCCAGCCCTGGAATTCAAGGTCCAGCAGGGCAAACGCCCTGCAAGCGACAGCCCTGGTGCCAAACCACAGCAGCCATCCTGGTCAGCCACCCTGGTCAGTTCACCTCCACCGGACCACACAATCACCTAACCGAGCACCAAACCTAGCCACGACCACCACCAAAGCAGGCCAAAAAAAGCTCTGGCCTCGGTGTTCTGTGTGCCGCTTGTCTGGCACAGGCTCGTTCTTGTCGTGTGTTGGCCAGATCCATAAAGAAACTCGATATGATTCGGCAGAAACCTTTTTGACACTTTTGGGGGTTGGTTGGTGCAGCTGTCCGTTTATCTGCCCTCCTGACGTCCGTCCTTGCATGATGCTTTGCTTGTTGACATACAGAGGGAGGCCATAAAGATGACAAAACTCGCAAAACAGTCCAGCCCGGAAATTGCACATGCTGTACACGTGATGATTTATGGGCTGCCCAAGAAGAACTTCTCCAGAAACATTTCCCTCCCTCCGCGTCCATCCGCGTCCAAGCCCACCCCTCCCTCCCTCCCTACCTGCCCTCCCCCACCTCTCCCTCGCCGCCTTGCTTTCCTCCCGCTGTACACCCTAATGCTCACCCAACTGCCCACTCTGAACACGGTTCTTTCTACTCCATACGCCCAGTGGTCGACATTCCCAGCCAACAGCCCGAACGTTACAGGCCCACGACAAAAGCAAGATACCCTTGACCTCGAATAAGTTATTCGAGTTTCCCAGACAGGACACGCTTGGCTACCCAAATACAGTCCCATTCTCCCCATGGTGAGCGCGGCTCGAGAGAGGAGCATAGGGAAAGATGGGGAAGGTAACTGAAATAGGCATCAGGTGTACAGCGTCTGTTCTGTTCACACAACGCATCAAAGATCTCAAAAACCCAAGAAGCAGGTGAACGCAGCTCATCTGATCCGTTGGCGCTGTCCATTAACAAATGAATGGATGTTCGTTGCAGGGCAGATGTTATCTTCCTGCAGTACCCTACCCGACCGGTTCAGATACGTTATTGACAGCTGTAGAACGCAAAGCATCTCATTGAGCCGCATTTTAGCCATTATTTGGTAGAGACTAATTGTCAGCACCACCATTCCGAGCACAGATGCTCAGCAGCAATCAGTGGGCTTGCGGTGGTCGCGAGCGCCTGCAGCGCTGCAGCAGCTGTCTACAAGTCGAGCCAAGTCTGTTGTGTTGCAGGAAGTGACGCCGTCGTCGATGGGAGTCACGAATAATGCTCCGCTGAATGTTGCTGCGCACCACCAGCTGCGGTCGCATCACATCGCATCGCATCAGAAATAAACGATCTCCCAGCTACTTCCAAACCGCTTTCTCGGTTCTCGCACCAACCGCTCTCCTCCAAACGTGTCACTTAGTACCCGGCCATGGTTTGCGCCGGCACCGCATCTCATGACTAAGCAATCCACCTCGACCGCACGCACTCTTGAGTCGACTCAAAAGTCAACGCACTCAAACGCCATTTAGAATATCGAAATTCTTCCTCCGCTATCCATGGTGATCTCAGCTACCAATCTCGCTTCTTAGAATCGCCGACCCTGCCAGATGCGCGACAGACGGAGTGAGCTCGAGCCCGACATGTCTTGGTCGCGAAAAGCTTGTGCATGGAGCCAATTCGGGATTTCATTGAGTAGAATTGGTCCTCCGCGCGGCACGGTCCGTTGGCTGCTGCTGCTGGTGCTTGCCGTTCAAAATGCCTCTCGCCTCTCCTCTGCCGACGCTCGCGACGATGCCGCGGCGGTAGCGGGAGGGGCAGCGGCGGAGGGCGCTACACGAGTTAGTGGGTGTGAAGCTGGGGAGGCTACTATGGACGATGCCGCCGCGGGATATCCCGATGCGCGCATGTGCAAAGCCGCTGCAACCGACTCGAGCGCGCACCCAGTGGACACTGTTAGAGATGGTGAACCAAAGTCGGCAGCGTCCTTCCCGGCTGCACACAAGCAGACCGCTTCCGCCGGTACCTGCGCCGGGGAATGCGGCAGCACCGCTGCTGCCAGCGACCGTACCGAAGAAGCAGCAGGCGACAGCGACGCCTGCGTGTCTGCTTCAACCCGTACTGTGGCGGCATTGAACTCGTCGCTAACCTCGACTGCGTCGCCCGAGGGTTCGAGCGCGGCGGAGTTGGTGCTTTCCGCCGTCAATGCCGTGCGCGCAGCAGTGGAGGCGGAACGCCTTGCGCTCGCGCGCCTGCAGGAAACCGTGGCGGGGCAGAGCGCGCGCTTGGAGCGCATGGAGCGGCTTCTGGCGGAGCTTGCGGGGAGACGGGCGGAAGGCGCACGGCCAGGGGACTGGGGTTTGGGCGCAGAGAGATGGCTGGGCGCGAGTGGGGGGGGAATTGGTGGATCAAGGCCAGAGGAGGGGAACATTGGCGGAGGTGATGCCGAAAGGGGCGGAATGGGCGGAGTGAAAGACGCTGTGCCCTTGGGAAGCATGGGGGGAAGCGCGGAGGGAGAGCGCATGTGGAGGACAGCGGAAGGAGTGGGTGGCGCGGAATGGCGAGGAAGGGAAGCGGGGGAGGAGCGAGCGGGCGTGGGGACGGAGAGGTGGAGTGAGCCGCTGACGTGGACTGGTAGCTTGGAGCTGGTGGGAACAGCGGCCATGGGCGCTCGTGTCACTGCTCTGCTGGTGAGCGGAGGTGTTGCTGGTGACGGCTGATTTGGCCCAAGTTGGGGTTTGGGATAGGTTGTAGCAAGTTGGCTGTGGCGGAGTCAGGGTTTGGCGCAGGTGAGTTTGGTGAGGTGAGGTGGTCTGGTCTGACGTGCGATACTTGCTATGAATTCTTAAGCACTAATTTCTGTCCCGTCAACCCCCAAACCCCACGTCCCCACCCCATGTTCACGCCCCCATTCTCACCCGTCCTTCAGCTTCTCCCGTTGGACCTGTCATCTCCTACGGGCGGGCGGCTGGTGGCAGTGGGGGACATGGCGGGCCATGTGCGCGTGTTCTCCTCCCAGGGCCACCTGCTGCTGCACCTGCACCCGCCCTCGCTGCACTCCCACGAGCATGCACACGCGCATGACCATGGGGGGCGAGGAGGCGGAGGAGGAGCACGTGGAGGAGGGGGAGGGGGAGGGGGGAGGGGAGGGGAGTGGGCGGTGACGGCGCTGGTGGCGGCAGCAGTGAAGCGCAACGAGACGTGGCTGGCAACAGGGCATGCGGACGGGTCTGTGTACCTTGTGCGTGTGCCCGAGCTGCAGGCCCGAGGCCGCTCTGCTGCCGCCCCTGCCACCACCACCACCGCTGCTTCTGCTTCTGCTGCTGCGGCGGCGGCGGCGGCTGCGGGGGAGCACGGGGAGGTGTTGCAGGGCGGTATGCTGGCGTCGTATGCGGTGCCCGTGGTGGAGCTGCTCCCTGCTGGCGCCCTTCACGCCCTGACTGCTGCCGCCGCTGCTGCTGCTGCTGCTGTGGGACAGACGGCAGGTGCAGCAAGCGATGCACAAACCGAGCAGCAGCAGCAGCAGCAGCAGCAGCAGCAGCAGCAGCAGCAGCAGCAGCAGCAGCAGCAGCAGCAGCAGCAGCAGCAGCAGCAGCAGCAGCAGCAGCAGCAGCAGCAGCAGCAGCAGCAGCAGCAGCAGCAGCAGCATCAGCAGCAGCAGCAGCAGGCGGGGTGGAGGGTGCCGTGGAGAGCAGTGACGTGTCTGGAGGTGCACAAGTCAGGGTCGTCGCGGTACATACTGGTGGGCAGTGCAGGGGGCGTCATTGCTGTGCTGCGATCCAATGGCTCCATCTACGGCCATGCCACCATGCTGCCCGTGCAGCAAGGTCTGCAGCATGAAGGCAGAGCAGGGGAGGCCCGGTCGAAGCAGAGAGGCGGAGAGGCCGCTGAGGCTGCAGCTGCAGCTGCTGCTGATGCTGCAGGTGCGGATGCGAAAGCACAAGAAAAGGGTTCAGGGAAGGGTCCGAACTCGGGTGAAGCCATTGTTCCTGCTCCTGCTGCTGCTGCTGCCGCGGCTGCTGCTGCTGCCGCTGTCGGTCGGCCCAGTGTCCCCTTGGCGTTCATCCGCACGCCCTCCTCCCAGCGGGTGCTCTTCCTGACATCAGCAGGAGCAGCGTCCGTGGACCTGCTCTCGCTCACCATGCACCCCGCCACGTGCCACGGGCTCAATGGCTCCACACTCGCTGCCTTCTCCTTTGACCCGGCCAGCCGCTCTCGCGCGTACGCGGTGACGACAGAGGGCGAGCTGGTGCTGGTGACGATTACAGGGGATACTAATTGGTTTGACTGCCGCGTGCGCTGGAGAGTACCTGCGCTGCAGTCCATTAAGCCTGCTGCTGTTCCTACTGCTGCTGCTGCTGCTGCTGCTGCTTCTGGGGTCGGTGTTGATGCTTTTGCTGATGGCACTGGTGACGGGGCTGAAAGTGCTTCTCCTCCTGCCGCTGTTGCTGCCGGTGCTGATGGTGGGCGGGGAGAGGTGGGGGATGTGGTGGGCGTGGGGCAGGGCAAGGTGGCAGCGGTGCATGGGTATGTGTTTGTGGCAGGGGCTGGCTCGCTGCTCATCTTCAATGTCTCCGGTCAGGTGGGTCATCCGGTCAGAAGTGATTCGTCAATGCATGGTGTGATGCATTGCTGCATGTTAGGGCTGTGATTGCACGCATGGCGAACACACCTGTGTTTTGATTGTTGAGGCATTGGCACTCCCTGCTTCCTCAAATGATCAGACTGCTTGATTTATCATGTTTGATTTCTAGTGCTGCTATGATAATAGCCTGATTTTCCCTGCCTCGCACTCACCTGTTCCCACCTTCTCCCTCCCTCCTTCCTCCGCCCGCTGCTGCAGCCATTCCGCTTCGTCTCCCCCCGCTCCAAGCCATGGGCACCAACCCTCATCCTCACTATCCCGCTTTCCTCCGCACTCGCCGCACTCCCGCCACACCTCCCCTCCCTCCCGCCATCCCTCCTCTCCGCCCTCGCCTCCGCCACCCTCCCTCCACCTCTCATCGCCTCCAACAAGGAGTCCCTCCTCGCGGTGGCCTTCTCAGCCCACAACGTCGCCATCTACCGCTCCCGCCTGCCCGTCTCCTCCGCACGCTCGCGCCGCTCCTCCTCCTTCCTCTCCACGCCCATCCTGCTCATCTTCATCTTCCTCTGTGCCGCCTGGCAGTTTGGTCGCAGAGCCCACGTGGGTTCCTCTGCTGGCGGTGAAGCATTGGGTAATTCGGTTCCAGGCGATTCAGACCCTCTTGGTGTTGCTCCGCATGCTCTTGGAACAGGGTTGGGGATACGCGGGCTGGAAATGGACGAGTCAGGTTTTGCCGGTGGGGGTTCTGGTGCGGGTGGGAGTGGGAGCGGTGGTGGTGGGAGTGGGAGTGCAGGGAGATTAGCAGCTGGTTTAGGGTTGCTCATGAGCAGGCGAACAGGTGGGGGTGGAGATGGGGAGGAGATGTGGGGAATGCAGATGGGCGGAAGAGGAGAAGGAGGAGGCGGAGGAGGAGCAGGGGCAGGTGGGGATGGGGAGGTTGCGAGGGCAAACGTGGGGGGAAGGAGGCCCGAAGAAGGACCAGCAGGGCTGAGAATTCATGGCATGAGATCAAGTGGTGGGGATGGATTCAGGGGCCTGTCAGATGGGGGAGGGAGCGGAGGGGTGGCGGAGGGTGTTGGTGGGTTGCAGAGGGGGGGTGGGGAAAGACCGGGAGGAGGGATGGGGGAGAGTGGAGGAGGGGACACGATGCGAGAGAGTAGGTTGGGTTTTGATCGCATGGGTCAGGCGAGAGGCATGGCAGCAGCAGGAGTGAGGGGCGCGAGCAGGCTGGGGCTGGGGACGGGGGAAGGAGAGGACTCCCGTTCTGCTGCAGGCACTGCTGGAGCAGCAGCAGCAGCCGCAGCCGCTGCCGCAGGTGTTGGTGGCGGTGGCGCTGCTGGTCTAGCTGGTGGTGGCGGTGGTCTAGAGGGAGCGAGCAGGCAGGCATGGCTGGATGCGAGTGATGGTGGCGGTGGGCTGGTGAGCAGCCGCAACAGCGACTGGGCTCCAATAGGCAGGATGAGAGCATCGGAAATGCGAGCAGCAGAGCGCTACCCCGCATCGCACCTCATGGGTGGCCGGCCAGCTCCCATGTCGGGCCGTGTGGTGGGGCACCCAGGCCCACGGCCCGAGTACCGAGGCAGGGAGACGTATCCCCCGTCTGGTCGCAGGGATCCTTTCTATGCCCGCCGCGCGTTCCAGCCTGGTTGAATCTCTGTTGTGGGCATCATGGCCTGCGCTGTGCGGCTTGACAAGATACTGGCTGGGTCTAGGTAGCAGAGTGCTTGGACCACCACTTGTGGAAGCAGCTGATAGGTGTGTTCTAGGGGTGAGGGTGGAGAGATTACTGCAGTGTGGATACACTGAAAGATATGAGGTTGATAGTGCAATCAGGATTGTTCTATCGGTTATGCTGTTGATCACAGTGGATGGTGCCTTAGGGTACATTCCTGTGGAGACACTTGTGTCTGAAACACTTAGGGCATGTTCCTACGCTCTTATCAGGCAAACCTCTTGTCAGCCTTGCCTGGTAAAAGTAGCGAGGGTTTTTAGGTTTATGAAATTTTCAGTGTGTTTTGACGCGAGCTTGATAAGAGGTTGGCCTGATAAGGGGCCGTAGGAACATGCCCTTAGGGCGTGTTCCTACGGCCCCTTATCAGCCGACCTCTTGTCATACTTGTGCGGTTCCATGCGTTTCAGTGCGATCGAATGTTACCGTATTACATGTGTTCTAGTGCGTTGCGACGCGAATCTGACAAGAGGTTCGCCTGATAAGGGGCCGTAGGAACACGCCCTTAGTGACGCGCAAAGAATGCATATAACGTACTGTGCAGGCCCCTAGATTCGTTTTGAGGTAGTCTGACGCCTCAGAGTACACCCCTCCTGGAACTCTGTCTGTTAGAGGTGCCTCGAAAATTTAGTCTGAAAATTCAGACAAGCACAACTTTTTTTGTCTGAACTGTCAGAGTTACCCTCAAATTTTAAGATGATGATGCAGTATCGTAAAAGCATATTTATAATAGCATTGAAGCTGATTACAGCATACCAACTCAACTGTGCGGTACGAACCAGTCAGGGTCGGCGGGTTTGCATCAGGCAACGTGCTCGTGCATCGCCTTGGTTGTTTTGTCACGTGCAGCGCATGGGTTGTTTCTGCTGATTAGATTTCGTTTCGTCGTATGTCTGATTACCGTTCTGTACCCATTTTCTCGCCTGTGTGCCGATTTTGTCAATTTTGGATTTGCGTTTCAAGCGATGTGATCATTCACCCGATCTGGTTGTTGTCACGTACAGTGCCAGGTGGGCCAAGTGCCACGCAGCTGAGCTGGCAGCAGGCAGAAACTGTTGGTTGGCGTGGCGTGTGTGAGCACATGGCAGTGCCGCACGAAACTTTCATTACGAATCAGGAGCTTCGCAATTTCACAGCAGTTTGTTTACAAAGAATCAGCATCAAAATCGCCAATTCTTTAAAATACACCAGCGATAACTTACATGTGACGAGATTTTGTCTACGAAATCTCGTAATCACACAACCATTTTCTTAGTGTAACTGGGAGATATTCTCGACAAACGAGTGTATTCGGATGTCCCAGCTGTTGAAGCGTGCGTTGCTCACGTCCTGGCACTGCACTGCCATCTCGGAAGTGGGCATATCGAAACGAAACTTCCAGGAAACTTCGTTTCGATAAGCTCGCAGAGTGCACCCCCGACACAAGTCTGAGGCTCAGCCTACACCCCTAAAAATTGGCTGAAATTTCAGCGGTTACAATAAAAAAAACTCTGAAAAATCAGAGAAGGTACATAAAAAAAAACTTACAGTTCAGACCAGGTACCAAAAAAAAGTCTGAATGGACGCTGAATCAGCGTAAAAATTCTGATATCTAGGGCACTAATACTGTGTCACAAATGCGGACCGCAGTAATGCGATCCCCACTGTATTTTACATTGGTTGGCGTGAATTGCGCGGGTGTCGCGGACGAGTTACACGAGGCCCCGTCACCTCCTAAAAATCGCACGCGTGTCGAAATGTCACACTGTACATCATGCACCTGGACGCTCGAAATGGGCAAATTTCGGGCGGGAAAGGAAACCGCTCTGCCCGGGCTGACAGCTGAGTGGTGGATGTAACCACACGGTCACGTCCCTGCCCTGCTGCGCAAGCCGTTCCAACAAGGGTGACAGCTCCCTCCCGTTCCAATCTATTCCTCTACTCCAAACCCCATCTCTCTACTTCGTGTTTCTTGCATTTTCTTCCACGCCATAGCCATGGCTCGTAAGCGCAAGAGCGTAGCTAGTAGCGCCGAGCTGTGCCCGCGGGATCTCAATGAGATTCCGTACATCGCTTGGATAAACAAGCAGATTGCTGCCGGCCGTATGCCCGCCGGCCCTTTGCCCGATGGTGCGCCGGGTGCGGGGGACACCTCGTTCGAAGCCCCGCGCGATGTCCCTACCCGTGGGCCCCGTGATACCGACCGGGTTGCATCTTCCCGCGTCGTTGACGACGACCCCTTCGATGACGACGCCGAGGACTCCGACTACAACGACTCCGACGACGATGCGGACTCTGGCGAAGAGGAATACAAGGGCATGTCCCCCTACGGAGATGACGACGACGATGAGGACGCGCACGAGGAGGCCCAGCCTGCTACCCCATCTCCCCGTCACTCCCGTGCTACTGCCGCCGCCGTAACCAAGACTGCCGCAAAGGGCGGGGAACCTCCGCGTGCCGCTGCCAAAAACCGCAACCTGCACCCTGTCAAGCGGAGTGTGTGGTCCCACCGCGAGAGCACGATCTTCGTGGCGACACGTTGGTTCATGAAGGACGAGCTCGAGAAGCTCCTCGAGAAGCAGGGATCCCAGTACTGGGCCCGCCTCGCGCGCCATTTCGAGGAGGAGAATCCCGGGTGGGTGCGTGGCGTGAATGCACTGCAAAAGCAGTGGCGCAACCTCGTCAGCATGTACAAGCAGATTAGTAAGGGGGAGCGTGCGAGCGGCAAGGGGGCGGTGTGCAAGCCCCCTTGGTACCCGTACATGGAGCTCTACGAGAACAACAAGGCGGTCGGCAACCCGCACGCCGTCGACGGTGGTGGCGCGGCACACGTCAACGTGCCGTGCGGGTTCGCGGTCCTGTCCACATCTGCACCTTGCACCTCGACCCCGACATTCACGGGTGAGATTGCGCTGTTTGACGGGTGTTTTGTTTGTGGTTGTGCATGTCTGACATATTGTTTTTACAATGGGATCTTTCCGTTAACACAATTGTTCGCACCACACAGCTTGTAATGATTACAATGCATCTCGCATGTGCAGCTCCACCTCCGCAGGGTACGCCCACCTCCAAGCGCCCACGGGTGGCAGAGACGACAACGATGGCCGCCGCCAAGCTGGTGTGTGAGACAATCAAGGGGTGCCACTCTGACGCGATGAACAGGCTTGAAGGCCTCGTCTGCACATGGATGGAGCAGGACGCGCGGATTGCGCGCGAACGCGTGCAGCAGCAGGCCCCAAACCCGCCTGCCAGCGACGGCTTCCCCGGGCACGCGGACAACATGCCCGCAACTCACGCTGCCGAAGGTGGCGACGACGGCTGGCTCCGTCGCGGGCGGGCGCTGTCATAATGTATTTGCTATTTAGCCTGCAGTGGGGTACTTTGTAGTGAGTACAACCCAGTTTAAGGTTTGCTATTTGTATCCCAACTTTCTATAGTGAAACCCCTCATTCTTCCTTCTCCACTTTCCTCACCCAAAATTCTCTCGACACTCACTAGCCATGGCTCCTAAGTCACGCTAGTATTCTAACATGGTATTAAGAGCAATAGTTCCTAGGACCTCACATTAATGGGCCCACCACCTAATGCCCTGCTAGCCTAGGCCCCGGCCCGTCGCTCCTTGGCGTCGCCCCTAGCCCCCAGGCTCGGCCCCTTGGCCCCGTCGCCCCTAGCTCGGCCCCTCGGCCCCGCTGGCCCCGTCGATTCCGTCGCCCGCGCCCGGCCCGTACCTAGCCCGCGCCCGGCCCCGTCTCGCGCCCGCGCCCGGCCCGTACCTAGCCCGCGATCGGCCCGTTCCTAGCCCCGCGCCCGGCCCGTACCTAGCCCGCGACAGGCCCGTGCCTAGCCCGCGCTTGGCCAGGTCTTACGCCTGCGCCCGGCCCCGTCTCTTGCCCACGCCCGGCCCGTACCTAGCCCGCGCACGGCCCCGTCTGTCGCCAGCGCCTGGCCTCGTACCTAGCCCGCGCCCGGCCCGTATAACGCCCGCGCCCGGCCCCGAACTTAGCCCGCGCCCCGGCCCCGTACCTGCCCAGCGCCCGGACCCGTACCTGCCCAACGCCCGGCCCCGTACCTGCCCAGAGCCCGGCCCCGTACCTGCCCAGCGCCCGGCTCCATACCTGCCCAGCGCCAGGCCCTGTACCTGCTCAGCGCTCGGCCCCGTTCCTGCCCAGTGCCCGGCCCCGTACCTGCCCAGCGCCCGGCCCCGTACCTGCCCAGCGCCCGGCCCCATTCCTAGCCATGGCCCCGTCGCCCCTAGCCATTGCCCCTCTCGACCTGCCACCCCTAACCGCGGCCCCGGTGCCCTGTTGCAACATGGTGGGTGAGGGTGTGAGGGGGTGGCGGATGTGCCTCAGCAGCAGCAGCTGCCGCCACGCCTCCTCCTCTCTCTCTCCCTGCCGCACCTTGTGTTGGGAGAGGGGGGGAGCTTGGAGGTTCAGGGGGAGGCAGGAGGGGATCTGCAGCACCAGCCCCCCCCCACCCTTCTCCTACCTCCCCCTGCTGCGGGTGCAGCAGAAGGGGGGGGGGGATCTGCAGCACCGACCCCCCCCCCCCCCCCCCTCCTCCCCCCCCTCATCCTTCTCCTACCTCCCCCTGCTGCGGGTGCAGCAGTGGGGGGGAAGCGATCTGCCATCCCCCTGCTGCGGATGCGGCAGTTGGGGGAGGGGACCTGCAACACCAGCCCCCCCCCTGCCCCCCCCCCTTCTCCTCCATCTCTCTGCTGCGGGTGCAGCAGTGGGGGGAGGGTATGGGGGTGGCGGGTGTGGCCAACCTGCTGTCGCCCGAGCGGCTCCTGCGCCGCCCCTTCTCCTACCTCCCCCCTGCTGCGGGTGCAGCAGTGGGGGGGGAGGGGATCTGCGGCACCAGCCCCCCCCCCCCACCCCCCCCCTTCTCCTACCTCCCCCTGCTGCGGTTGCAGTAGTGGGGGGGAGGGGATCTGCAGCAC